AAATATCTCAGTCATAAAATGACAATTACTGCATAGTGCCACTGTTTTAAAAAGGGACTGACACTAGGGTTGGGAGGAACCTAAGAAAAGAGGGGATGAATAATGTATAATATATTGAAACAAATGAAGGAGACAACTGTTTAAAAAGGATATATGATTAGTTATTATTTTCATGAAAAGATTGCAGAAAAAGAAATGCATAGTAAAGTGGATTTTGGACTTGGAGGGGGTGGGGAGGATTGTATAACAATGAAAGAATTTTTTTTCTTTTCAAAGAGAAGAGCAAACTGGAGGGGGGAAGGGTGGGCAGGGAGGAAAACATGCAACAATGAATGAATGAGGAAAAAATTATGTGGGCAGAATATGCTTTAAAAAAGTTTTTAAAGTAATAAAAAATATAGAATTTCACATGCACCTTAATTTGCTGAATTGTTACAATTTGCATATTATTTTAATTACCTTTGATACTTAATAAGCAAATTGTATATGTAATATAACAAGTTTATACTTTTTATTGTTTGATAAATAGATTTATTTTTTTCTATGGAAGAAGAAGAGAAGGAAGAGGAGGAGGAGGAGGAGGAGGAAGAGGAGGCTATAGCGCGAGGGATATCTTTGCTGATGTTAGATGGATCCTGGCTAAAAGGAATGCCAGAAGAATGTCTTTTGGTGCTTTATTGACTATGCAAAGACATTTGACTGTGACATTTGACATGACAAGTTGTGGCTGACGTTGAGGAGAATGGGAATCCCAGAGAATATGACTGTTCTCATGAGAAACCTATACCTGGATCAGGAGGCTGTTGTGAGAATTGATCAGGGGAGCTCTGCATGGTTTGGAATTGGGAAGAGTGTGTCAGGGTTGTATTCTATCTCCACACCTGTTCAATTTATATGCTGAGCAAATTGTCTGAGAAGCTGGACTCTATAAGGAGGAATGTGGCATCAGGATTAGAGGGAGACTCATCAATAACTTGCGTCACAACCTTACTCGCTGAAAATGAGGAAGACTTGAAGTACTTGTTGCAGAAGATCAAGGAATATAGCCTTCAGTATGGATTGCATCTCAATATCAAGAAAACAAAGATTCTTTGTTTTTTTATTATTATTAAATTTTATTAGTTTCAATGAACATTCACAAGAATTCTGGGCTTTCACTCCTTCATTGCCACACCATTCTCTCCACCCTCCTCCCCAGTTTGTTCTTCTTCCCCGCCATCCGAATGTCTGTTTTAATTGTCCAATTGCCACAGTGCTTGTCAAAGTCAGTTCTGATTAATCTCCTTTGTCAGTGTGTCCTTTGCCATTCCCTATCACTCCTCCCTGAGAGAGACTTCACCCTGAGTCATAAGGAAAAGGGGATGGCGTATTCTCTTAGCTACTTCCTGCTGAAAAGGGACGCTGTGGGTTTCAGGGTGAAGATCTTCTCTCACTACTCTAAAGGGCCCCTTTGGCAGTAGGAAACACATAGACTATTATGGAGATTGATTTTGGAACTTAGATGCACTCTTATTGATTGTGCTTGGCCGTACATGTTCATATCCTTGAAGATGTATCATGGGGGTGTTGCAACCTAGAAGACACAAATTTGACTAACAAGTTATAAGTACATGAGTCAAAAATTATGGAAAAGTAAAAGAAAGGATTCTTTCATTGTTTTACAAACCCTCCCCCAGGTCCCCTCCACCATGTAGCCCTTGCTCTAGACTCCTGTGATGACAGAAGTACCTAGTCATATATCTCTTTTAAACAGTTTTCTCCCTCCTCTGTTTCAGTGCAGTATACATTATTGAACCCATCTTACTCAGTCTCTCCCCAACCCCATGGACAGTCCCATTCTACAACAGTGGCATCATGTAATATTTGTCCTTTTGTGACCGGGATGTTTCACTCAGCATAATGTTGTCCAGAGTCAACCATTTTGAATAATATTGCGTGAGTTCCTTATTTTTTAATGCAGCATAGTATTCCATTGTGCGAATATACCACAGCTTCTCTAGCCATTCGTTTGTTGATGGGCACCTGGGTTGTTTCCAACTCCTTGCTATTGTGAACAAAGCTGCAATAAACATGGGTGTGCATATATCTGCTTGGGTGTCAGCTATGGTCTCTTCAGGGTATATTCCCAGTAGTGGAATTGCTGGGTCAAATGGTATCTCTATTTGCAACTTTTTGAGAAAGCGCCATACTGCTTTCCACAGGGGTTGTACCATTTTACACTCCCACCAACAGTGAATCAGGGAAAACAAAGATTCTTACCACTAGACCAACAGTCAGTGTCATGATGGATGGAGAGGAAATGGAAACTATCAATAGCTTCATCTTGCTTGGATCCACACCCTTGGTATGAGCAGTCAGGAAATAAGGAGATGCATTGCATTGGGAAAATCTGCAGATAGGGACCTTTCCAAATTATTGAGTAGTGATGTCAATTTGAGGACTAAAATGTATCTGATTCAGGCCATAGTCTTTCTGCTTACTAGCTATGCATCCAACACCTGGACAATGAGTAAGAATGACAGAAAAAGAATTGATACCTTTGAGCTGTGGAGTTGGAGAAGAGCGGCGAACATCCTGTGGATGTCCAAGAGAATGAACAGATATGTCTTGGAGAGGGTGCAGCTGGAGTGCTCTTTGGAGGCAAGAATGATGAGGCTTCACTTCACATACTTTGGATATATTGCTAGGAGGTGCTATTCCTTACAGAAGAACCTAATGCTAGGAAGGGTGGAGAGTCAGCGAAAGAGAGGAAGACCCTCGACCAGGTGGATTGACACAGTGACTGCTGCAATGGGTTCTTGTGTGTCAGGAAGTGTGAAGATGTCACAGGACAGAACTGGGTTCATATCTTTTGTCCATAGGTCATTAAGAGTTGTACTTGACTCAATGGCATCTAACAACAACAGCAATAACATGATATTAATGAGGCAGGATTAGAGGCAGATATGTGATAATGTAATCATGTCCTCAAAGCGTGAGTTGATGTGATCAGCCATTCAGGTGGTATGTAACACAGTTAGGCAATAGCCATGATCTGATGTAAGGGAAGTTTCTCTAGGATGTACCCTATAACACCTTTTATTGTATGTACAAGAGATAAAAGGAGAGAGGAATAGCTCAGTACCATCAAGAAAGAAGAGTCAGGAGATAAAGCATCCTTTGGACTCAGGGTCTTGTGCTGGGAAACTTCTAGAGCTAACACACACACACACACACACACACACACACACTGAGAGAAAGCCTCCCGTAGAGCCAGTGCCTGAATTCAGAATTCTGACCTCCTCCACTGTGAACCATTTTTATGTGTATTAATGTCATACACATAACTCTTCTACAGAAGCAATTAATAACTAGGACATCATCCCTAGTGTAAGACAAAAAAAAAGAGTTGAGAGTGAGAGAAATAAAGAAAGAAGCTGGTCCCAAAAAGCAAACAAGCCTTTATTGCATGGTCTGAGAGGGACACCAAGTGACCACACGAGGAGAAGGTCAAAATGGTGCAAGGGAAGTCAAGGATGGTTTCTTTTTATAGGGGTTTTAGGGAAGATGGTATTTTGCTTGAAATTTGGAGTAGGGGTCCTGTTAATTAACTTGAGCATAAGCTTTTGTGATCAGGCCCAGAGCCTTATCAGGATCTGGTCTCTGGTCTGGTCGCCTTAGACTTTTATCAGTTACTTCAAGGATAGATCAGGTCTAGGAGCAACAGTGACATTTTTCCTCCACTTAGGACAATTATTCATAGAATGTTTAAGGGGTAGGGAGGGAACTTGGTGGAAGGAACTGTTGCTTATTACATCTATCTTCATAGCTATTTTCCTTTCCATCTGTCTATACTGCTGCTGTATTTCATACTTCCAATGTGGCCCAGAACATCTCCCACATCCTAACAAAGCACTTTGTCTATAGCTCTGGGAGATCTGTGGAAGAGCTGGGCACATGAGAATATTGAGAATTGTTCACTACAGCTGGGAGGTTGGGAGGATACATCAGGATATAACCAATCCAGGAACAGGTCACCCTTATACTTGAAGTTGACTGTGAGCTGGGCAAACACTCCTGTTCCTAAGAATAAGTAGAAAGCCAACAAACATAACATACTTTATGCAAGACAAATACCATCTTTGAAGGAACCCAGATCCATATTATAACATATGGACATTTGGGAATTGAGTGAGTAGGGTTGTCAAGCCACATTACTTCATCCATGTAATCTCTGGAGCTTGAGGCAGTAGTAGCAAAGAACCCTACCTGTCCTATTTCTGTGCAGGAACTGGCCAGATAGAATTGATGTTGAGTTGGAGCTGACCCTCTAGTGGGTTTTCAAAGGCAGTGAATCACATGGGAGAAGACTGCACATCCTCCTTCAGTGCGGCTGGTGGATTTGAACCACATGCTTTCAAGATTACAGCATAGCTTCTTACCACTAGGTTACCTTTCCCATGATAAATCTTGGATTGTCTCTTTTGTCAGTCAATACCTACTTTCTGCACATAGTGGTCCATTTTGGATTTCCTCCAGGGAAGTCCCCTGCCTTCTGCTGTCACCCAATAGGCCTAGAACCTCAACCTGCAGAATAACAGGGGCAGGCCAGGAACACTACCTCTGGAGGATTATGGAAAGGAAAATGGCTGCTGTCAGAATGGGGCAATCTTCAAGGATCCCATTTCATAGAGATAGTGCACTTCTCTGAAACCTTTCTCAGTCCAGACTCTAGGGACAGAGCAAGATCTTATTATGTGAACCCTTCTCCAGTTTAGGGTGACCCTACAGTGGAGCAGCTGGGGCTCTATGTTCACCATGGTCACAAGTAGCCCACACAAAGCCCACACAAAGCAGGCATACCTTAACTGGACTACAAGTGGTGTTCTATCAAGCTGATGGTGGAGGAACGATTACCATAGATATTAGAAGCCAAAAACCAACACAGAAGTGGAAAAGACAGTTTATTTGTGTGGTAAGCCATTTCTCATGGCTGGAGCCAGGTAGAGGGGTTCCCAGGGTCAGTGGCTTGGCCAGAGCAGGGTGATGCCTGCATGGCTGCAGCGGAAATCAGGAACCTGCTGCTCAGGCTTGGTTTCCACAGAGACCAGGCGCCGTGCTCCTCGCTGGCTCAGGGGAATGCAGTCAGAGACACGGACCTCCAGTATCCTGCCCTGCCTGAAGCAGAATAGGTGAAGGGGGGCAGAGTCAGGGCAATGGCAGAGCTCCACCTTCACCAGGTTTTCCCAGCACAGGACTTACCCCTGGCAGTGTGCAGCCAGCACACCCACCAGCTCTCCCACTCGATTGTCCAGCTCCGGCTGGGTGCGATGTAGACAGACCACCAAATCATCCTGGCCCCGGGCATGCAGTACCACCAGCTGGTCCCGCCCACTCGTCACACTCAGCCCGGTCACCTGGGCACAGGCTACAGTCAGGAGCGCTGGGCTACCACATGACATGCCTGGCTGTCCCACCTCTCCTACCACCCCTCCCAAGCTGACCACTTCCCTCAGCTTGGCTACCAGGCCAATTTTCCTGAGCCCGCACAAAAGAACAGCCCCTCACTAAGTATCCATCATCCTCAGCTATCACCTTCCTCTCAAGGAGTCAGAGTCTCAAGGAGACCTTAGGGGTGGGAGGCTAGGCGACCACCAGTGCAGCCTGTGGGATAATATAAATTCTGTTTCCCTTCAGGCAAGTATGGTAGCCAGTGCACTCAGGTGTCAGCCTTGCTACATGCCCTCCCTGGTTGTCCTCCTCCCTGGCTGGCCTAGAGCTGTGGTCTCTAAGGTTTCAGAAACAGCAGCAGGACTCCTAGGCTGAGGCTGCCCCTGGACCTCCCTTGTGCCCACCATTCTCCCCAGATCAGCTTCCAACCTCATGAAGGTGATTAGAAGACTTAAAATGAGTTAGTACCATAAGGAACTAAATTTTAAATGGTTTCATTCTAATTTAGCTAACCACTCATGCTAGTGGCTGCCACATTGGACAGCAAAGCTGTAAAGAAAGGCCTTTTTTACAAACAGGATAGAGGTCCCTGGAACTTTGGGGACCCAAAAAGTAAATCCCTGTCCTCAGGACCTTACCTCTGGTCTCAAGATAACATCTATCCTATGGGAAAGGAGACATGGGCACAAGGAAATGTGCGTAGAGTGGTCACTGGGCCCACAACAGAGGCAGAAGAAAGTGCTCCCAAACCAGAGACAACAGAAAAGACTCCCCAGAGAGGCACTGGGGCTTCGGGGGTGCGGGTATGTGCTGACGTGGAAACAGGCAACACAAAGAGCTGGGGAGGTAATGCAGGTTTGGGGAAGGGGGGGCATGCTGGCATGTCAGGTAGGGTTGACCCTACAACCAGCAATACGAGGCTACTGTGGGGTTTTCAACAGAGAAGTGAATTAGGAACCCCAGTCTGCACTCCAATGTCTGGGGGACCTCAAGCTGCACTGCCCCAGCCCTGCTCCAGCCCCACTTTTACAGATGCTGCTGCTTACAGCCTGGAGAGGGACAGCCCGCATCACCCGGTACTGCCTGCCTGGTTCCAGCTTATACAAATACTGGTCTGTGAGAAGAAGTGCCCGATCTCGGCTCTTGTGGAAGCGATTCACCTGTAAAAAAGATAGCACGCATCACTGTCCTTACCACATTCATCCAGCCCTGGGGCTACCTGGTGCCTCAGGCTCTTAGCTTCTGGCTGGCCTCCCCTCTGATTGGACTGGAGCTGTGGTTTCTAAGGTTCCAGGGACAACTACGGGATTTCTGGGCTGAGGCATCCCCTGGGCCTACCCTATGCCCACCATTCTTCCCAGACCATCTTCCAACCTTGCGGACATGGCTAGAAAAGAGTACAGCCTTGAAGCCATCCTTCTCCCGGAGAGTCTGCAGCCGATGAGCAAAGAGGCTGGAGGCTGTAGGGTTGTCAATGGCCTGAGAATAGATGAGTGGGAGAGGTGTGCTTGATGTCGGGTCTTACAGACCCAATTTGGGATCAAGACAAAATAATTGCTTCTGTCAACCAGGCTCACGGGTGTAGCTCGTGACTCTCAGCCAGACCCCACAACATGGGTCCATCTCCCAGGGAGGCAGGAGACATAGATTCTGATGAGTTCTGAAAATTTGGACACCAGAGGCCTAGTCTCTGTCCTCATTAGAAGGCTGGGCATAGGAGACCTCAGCTTTATCTTCTCTCCTCATCTTCCATGTCACTACCCTACCCAGTAGCTGCAACTCAAGTCTTCAAAGGGAAGCATCAGGAGTGAAGGAAAGAGGCCTGTACAGACTCCATATATCACTCACCTGCAGAGCAGGGCCAGGAGACCCCGGTGACAGCTTAGGGACTAAAGGGATGTCAGGCTTAGCCCAGGGGAGAACAGAGCTGGGCCTTAAGAGTGGTGGAGAGCAGGGTGGCAGAATTATAGTTAGCAGAGATGCAGGAATACTCATACTAGGCACTGGAAATTCTCAGCTGTCCAAGCCCAGCAGTTAGCCTAATACTCACCGAGGACAGGTAGTCTTGGACCCAGGTCCGCTGGCAGCCCCAGTCCTGGCGCAGCCCCTGCAGCAATCCCATAGCAGCCACCTTGGCCTTGATCTGCACCATGTCTGAAGGTGGAATGTTCTTCACCAGCTGCCTGGCCCGCCATCTGGGGGAAGGAAGGGTGGTCAGAGGCATGCCTGGGGAGAGAGACCCCAAGTTTCTCCCTCCCCATCCTGCCTCCTCCCCAGAGTATACCCTACTCCTCTGCCCAATTTACTCACACAGATGGTTCATTGCAGCTTCTTGGGCCTCAGACTACCCACCCTGAAACTCACATGCTGAGGTCCTCATCTGTGTTCACTGAGCCTCTCCTCCTAGAGGCCCAGTCCTCAGAACCCTGGTCAGGTGTGGTTTTATTCAAGGGCCACCATCCTTCTACAGTTAGCAGCCCCCAATTCACAGTAAGGGAAGGGAGGCCTGCATCCAACTCCAAATCCCAAAAAGCCCAAAGACAATGAGACTTCGACTGCAGAAACTAGAAACTGGGCTAGCCGTCTAGACTCTACGGGTCTCTGTGAGGTGGATAGCAGGGCCAGGGTGTTCAGGAGTAGGAGAGAGGTGTGCATGGGTGGAGAAAGTGTGCCCTGGAAAGAAGGTACCTGCAGAAAAGTGCCTGGCAGATGTCCTGGAAAGGCTTCAGCACTGCTGGAGCCAGGGGCCAGGTGAGGTCACGGCCATAGAGTGGGGGCTTCCGAGCAGCTAGGAAATATTGCTGCAGCTCTACCAGATGTGTCCGCACCTTGTGCTGCCGGAACCAGCACATGATGGTGTAGATGGCCCGCAGGCGCCGGCAGCGCCACCGAGCCAGGGTGCCCCGCCATGCCTGCAAGGGGCAAACACAGGCTAAGTCCCACAGGCCCAGATGGCCTTCTGTTTCCCCTTTCTCAAGAACACCCTTGTGAATCTCCACTTGCTGCTTCTGGGTTGGGTGCAGCAGGGCCAGCTCTTGACTCTTTAGCATAACAGATCAACTAGTAACCAGAAGATTGGCAGTTCAGATCCACTCATTGCTCCACAGGAGAAAGATTGACAACACTAGAAACCTGATGGAGGGTCATTGTGAGTTGGAACTGACTGAATGGCAGTGGACTGGGTTTGGTTTCATTGTCCCTGTGTTAGCCATGCAGCCCAGTAGCATTCCTGCCCTTTTAAAAAAAGGATCTGACACTGTTAAGAGTCTTTCAAGGAGAACATGCCATGAGAACAGTGCAAGAAGAAGATAGAAGAGTATTCCCCAGGAAGGGCAATTGCCACCAGTCAACTTTGAATATACCCATTAAGATATAAGTACCCACCCCAGAAAACAAAAATCTTCAACCACAGTGTGATAAATGGAGAAAAGACTGGAGTTGTTAAGGATTTAATTTCATGTGGATTCAGAATCAGCACCCACAATAACAGCAGTCAAGAAATCAAAAGACACACTGTATTGGACAAGTCTATTTTCAAGGGTCTCTTAATTGTGCTAAAAAGCAAAGGTGTCAGTTTAAAGATTAAGATGTGTGCCTGATCAAAGCTGTGATAATTGCTTCACACACATATGAAAGGTGAACAATGGAAAAGAAAGTCGAACAATAAGTAAAAAAGACCAAAGAAAAATTGATGCCTTTCAATTATCAGGTTGGCAAAGAGTGTTGAATATGCCATGGACTGCCAAAGGTAAAACAAGTATGTCTTGGATGAAGTTAAATTAGGGTATATAGGAGAGGCTATTCCTATATACAGGTATATTTTGGAGGGTAGGATGGTAAAACGTCTCATATACTTTAGGTATGAGGTCAGGAGGTACCAAGAGAGTTTCATGCTCAGAAAAGTAGAGGATCATTGATAAGAAAGAGGAAGACCTTCAATAAGATGAAGTGACACAGTGACTGCAACAGTGGTCTTGAGCATGGTGGAGACTGTGAAAATGGTACAAGATACAGCAAAGTCTAGATGTATTGTTCATAGAGTTGCTATGAGTCTATTTGACTCCAAGACACCTCACAACAATCATCTACTTCCAGAAGGCCCTTAGATCAAGGAATGTGGCACAGCCACAAGGCTACATCCCTCAAAAACTAGAATACAAGTGGAAAGCCCAGGGGAACCTAAAGACAAAAATATAGGCAATACACAGTCAATTGAAATGCATATCATTACCAGGATACTAGTGGGAATGAGGAGTTATAGGCGCTCTAATGGCATAGTAGTAATAGTTGTCATCCCAATAGTAATAGTGCTGTCATCCCAAAGGCTCAAATCCACCAGCTGTTCCATGAGAGAAAGATGGACAATCTCTTCCCAAGTGTTTTATAGCCTCTTAAAACCTGCTGGAGGGTCAGCTATGAATCAGTTCTGATTTGACAGCACATAACACAAATGTGAATGAATGACAATTATGAGACAATTGGGAAAGTTTGAATATTGTGTACCTATTGGGTGACAATCACCATTCAGTACTAATTTTTTGAACTGGAATAATGGTATTATGTTAAAGTAATCTCTGCATGGTGGAAGGAGGAGTGGCATCCACTTCCATAATAGCTTGCCTCCGGAAACACTATGAACCTGGAGAGAGGATGAAAGGCATGCAAGCGTCGAGGACTCTCCTTCATAGGGTCGCTATGGGCCTGCGACTTGACGGCACTTAACAACAACAACAATCTCTGCATGTTAAAAAACAAAACCAATTAGCAAAAAAAGAATTATAAAAATCAAAGTGTCTGAACCTAACCTTGTGCCTTGAAACTCTCAAGTATTGCATTAGAAAAAGAAAGAGACAGAGTAGAACCATTTACCATACTGTAAATTTTAATGGAAACGGACTTCCCCATCCTCCCACAGAATGATTGGTGGATTTGACCCAACAACCTCTTGGTTACTGGCCAAACATCTTAACAATAGTGCCACCAGAGTTCCTTTAATGTGTTAGAGAAAATCTAAGAGGTAACCAAACAGACAAACTGATGCCTTTGAGTTGCGGTGTTGGAGAAAAATACTGAATATCACAAACAGGTATTTTTTTTAAAAAGGTGCAGCCAGAGTGGATGCAAGGATGGCAAAACTTCATCTCCTATACTTTTGACATGTTGCAAGGAGAGGCTATTCCTATATACAGATTATTTTCAAGCTGGGAAAATGAGCTGAACAGCCTATGTGTTTTCTGGTTTGGGGTTTAGACTAGGGTGTGGCTGTTGTTCACAATAAGGTGTGAACTGATTGAATTTGGCCTCCTCTCTAAAAAGTCTTTTGAGCCCTCAGGCTTACTTTTTGTGGATCTCCCTAATAAAATGAATAAAATGGGCAGGAGTGGCATCCACTTCAAAAAAAAAAAAAAAAGGCCTCCGATACTCTATGAACTTGGAGAAAAGATGAAAGTTTTATGTTCAAGATTTTCATTCATAGAGTTGCTATGGGTTGTCTATGACTCTATGGCACTAAACAACCACTCTAAAACAAAAAGTTATGGAAGGAGGAGAAGGAACTCTATCCTTTGGAAATTTAGACCTTAGTGACCAACAATGAGGTGATTTGCTTCAAAACCACACCTGTGTGCATAAAAGCATGGTGTCTAGAATAGATATTGCTGAAGCTGAGGATGGGCTCAGCACAAGACCCTCTATTCCTTTCCTGGAGTCTGAAGCTCTCCATGATAAGTAGTTAGAAGAGAGGAAGAACAAAAGGAAAGAAAGCTGGATTCCTGAAAAATTTGTTCTGAGCGACCAAGCCAAGCAGTGGCCTAGAGCACTCACCTGCACTGTACCTATCCTTTTGCCCAAGTCCCTTTTAACCACAGGGATGAGTGAGACCTCCATCAGTGGCCCATTCCTGATGTCCTCACCTTCTGCAGAAGGAGCACAATGATGGGCACCAGGCGAGCCCGGCTCTGTTCCAGCATGACCAGGGTGTGGGGTGAACGGATGAACAGCTTGCTGTGTCCAAAGGCCACATCCCCCTGCAGTCCATGCTGCTCTAAGAGGGCGCTCACAGCCGCCTTGTCTGAGCCCAGCAGGTGGTTGGGCCACGTGTATTCACAAGTCATCTTGTACCTGTCACCACATGGACAAGGGGCAGTGAGAGGCCAGGCCCTCAGGGAGGAGGGCTGGAGACTTCTGTGTTCATATGTCTCTGACAAACACAAGAAATCTGAGGCCAGCAGTCACAGAGCTCTGTCTGCACTGCAGTCTGAGAAGTACTGCATTAGAGACCCTCTGGGCCTGCTACTGAGATTCTACGGGAAGCATAGCTCTTGGGGTGATAGCAGGGTTGCAGGATCTGGGATCTCCATATACCTAGAGGGGCCAGGAAATGAAAAAGGCACAGGGGTTAGTACCTCAGCAGGAATCGGGGATAAGGTTGGCGGGATGCAAAGCCAGCTCTGCGGACCCTCACATTCTCCAGTAGCCCAAGATATGCAACTTGGTGGCAGCAATGGCCCTCGTCCAACTTCCAAGGCACTTTGTCTTCATTGGGCTTGATGCAGCGCACATAGTAAGGCTCCTATAGGATGTGGCCAGGGACAGAGAGAATCTGACACAAGGGACTTGCACCAAGTTCATGCCCTGTCCTGACAATGCCACAACTCTCACGGATCAGGGTGTGAGCCTGAGGAACTGGAAACTCAAGTGGCTCCTGTGATCCAGCACAATGCCAGTGGAGTGGAAAAGAGGCTTGAAGGGGTAGGAGTGGGGACAAGGACCAGTTTGGACAGAGAAGGCTTCAGGTGAGGGGTAATGGTGAGCAGTCAGAAGGGCTGAAATAAAGAGTGGAGCTGGAGGCAAGGGAGAACCCTGGAGGAACAGCCAATGGTCTGGAGGAGCTATGAGAAGGGTTGCTGGTTGGTTTCCCCACCACCACCATCCCTACCTGTCTTATGGGTGAGTGAGCCCAAGGACCAGGACAATTGATGTGCTGTCTAATTCAGCCCTGTCATAACCCCCACCCCACATATACTCCAATTCTGACTGAGTGTGAAGCTCCTAAAGGAAGTCTATGCCAGACATTCATCCCTAGTGGCTCTTAACAGGTACTGGTATGGGACAACCCAGCTTAAAGGAGGGTCATCTTCACCCAAGAGACAAATGGCCAAGAGGAGGTCAATGTATTCTGTACTTTCTATTTTTTTGCATGGTGGAGGCTATGAAAGCCAACCTGGCCCTGAACCTGGATGCTTGAAGCTATGTAGAAGGTGAGGCTTCCTACTCAGCATGAAGTTGTGGGATGGTGCTAGGTGTCCATACCTTGGAGGCCAGGTTTTCTACCAGGGCTACCATGGAGTTCTTAAAAAGTGTGCCAGCTGTTAGGGGGCGCTTGGTGACTTCTGTGATGTCCTGTTGTCCATCTGGCCACATAGCCTTCAAGGTGGGGTCTGTGCTGTAGACACAGGAGGGCAGCCATCACTGTTGCCTGTCATTAACATTCTACAAAGCCATGAGCCTTCTGCTATTTCTCCACCCACACAAGGCGGAGTCAGACCCTGCAGATTCGGAAGGCCCTTCCGGATCCAAGCCTCTATGAGACTGAATGGTATCCTTCAGGCACTTAAACCTACCTGTTGTACAGGAGCCGTTTGAAGTCCTGGAAGAGGAAATCTCGGTTCTTGTCAATGAAGCCGTCCACAGAGTACCTGAACATACCAGGGCCAGTGAGGGAAGGAAGGATGAGCACAGGGCCTGGCAGGTGGCCATGGACACATAGAGCACTGACCATTGACTGCCTCCCTCCCACCTCCCATTCTCTTAGGCTAGTCTCTCTCCCTGCTGCCATCTGTTCTCTCTCTGGGCAAGTGATTCTTTCCATCACGTTCTTCTCTCCTTTTTCTCACATCTCACTTCTCTCTTATGATTTAGCACTCCCTCAAGTGAAGTTTCTTTCCTAGAAGATGAATAGAAATTAGGGCTCTGAAGCCTAGTGCCCTAGAGCTGAATCTTAGCTCTACTACTTACCTGCTATGTGACCTTGGACAGGTTATATAACATCTCTGTACATCAGAGATGCTAGAACAGCATCTAATGAGTTTCAATAAATATCAATGACTGGTGATGGTTATTAGGATCTCCTGAGTCACTGTCTATTTTAATCTTTGAAGACTGAAAACTCAGAATCATAGTCTCATCTTTGACTTTGACTGCTAGAAAGCACATAGTCAATATTTTGGCTCTATCTTTACACTTGTGAAGACTTGCGGTATTGATTTCATAAAGTGATTTAACTTCTCAACTTTCCACCATCATCCTCACCACCGCCCTCTATTTCTCATCCTTGAAAAGAACATACCACCATCATCCTCACCACTAACCTCTATTTCCCATCCTTGTAAAGGTAATATTACCATCATCCTCACCACCATTCCCTATTTCTCATTCTTGTAAAGGTAATATCACCTTCATCCTGTATTTCTCATCTTTGTAAAGGACATACTACCATCATCCTCACTGCCATCTTCTATTTCCTATCCTTGTAAAGGACATACCACCATCTTCTATTTCTTGTCCTTATAAAGGACATACCACCATCATCCTCACCATTTACCTCTATATTCCATCCTTGTAAAGGACATACCAGACACATGCACTTCTCTCTAGAGTCATGCAAGATCCTCTTGGGAGAAGCAAATAAATGAATAAGGATAACAATGCCTGGCAGAAGCCTCAAATGCAAGCTTGAAATTAATATTTTAAATTACTTTGTATGCGTACGCGTGTAAAGCAGAAGATAGGTGTTGAAAGGAGTAGGTGGGAGTAGAAGGGAATACTGGTGGAGCAGGGAAAGGGGTGGGTCAAGAGACTCATGTCAAGGGCAGGGACAAAACTAAAACTACTGGCTATTTCTACAATTGGGAAAGATCTTTCATCTGCATTGTTCTGTAAAATGCTTGTCTGTTAGATACTTTTCTAAATCTGAGCATTCAGATTAAGATAGATTAGGAAGAAGGATTGGTCATCCTCTTCTGAAATAACAGGCCTTCGAAAACCCTATGTACAATAGAACACACTAGCAGATAGGACAACAGATGTGGAACTTTCAAGTACGGAAATACTAAGGAGAAAGAACAGTTGTAAGCAGACACTAGTGATTGGAACATGGAATGTGAGAATTACGAATGTAGGAAAATTAGATATTGTTAAGGAAGAAATGGAACGCATAAATATTGACATACTAGGTACTGGCTAGATGAGATGGACTGGCATAAGACATTTTGAATCAGATGATTAGGCTGGAGATTAAAAGGTGAGGAAAAATGGGGTTGCTTTCATAGTTAAAAAAAGTAATTTCTAGATATGTCTTCAAATATAATATTGTGAGTGACAGGATAATATCCATACACATACAAGGAAGTCCAGTGAATACCACTATAATTCAAATTTATGCACCAACAACCAGAGCCAAAGAAGAGGAAATAGATGATTTCTACCAACTTTTGCAGTCAGAGATCAATCAAACATGCAATCAAGATGCATTAAAAGTGATGGGTGAGTGGAATGCAAAAGTTGAGAACAGAGGAGAAGGATCAGTAGTTTGAAAGCATGGACTTGATGACAGAAACGAAGCTGGAAATGGGATGAAAGAATTTTGCACAATCAGCAATTTATTCATTGCAAATGCATTTTACAAGAAACATAAACGTAAGCTATACACATGGATTTCACCTGATGGTATGCATAGAAATCAGATAGATTACACCTGTGGAAGGAACCGCTAGAGAAGCTCAATATCAGCTGTGAAAACTAGGGCTGATGCTGACTGTGGAACAGATCACCAACTACTCATATGCAAGTTTAAGCTGAAGCTAAGGAAAGTGAAATCAAGCCCATAGGAACCAAAATATGAACTTGAGTCTATCCTATTTGAATTTCAGAACCATCTCAGGAACAGGCTTCAGGCCTTGAACACTGATGAGTGATGACCAGATAAGTTATGGGAAGATAACAAGAATATCATCCAGGAAGAGTGCAAAGGATTGTTGCAAAGACGGAGGAGAAAGAAAAGACAAAAATGGATGTCAGAGGAGACTCTGAATATTGCACTGAAGTGCCGAGAAGCCAAAGCAGAAGGAAGGCATCAAGACATTAAGGAGCTGAACAGGAGATTTCAAAAGGCTGCATGACAAGACAAAGTATTATAATGAAATGTGCAAAGAGCTGGAGTAAGAGAATCAAAGAGGCCCAACTCACTCAGCATTTCTTAAACTCAAGGAACTGAAGAGGAAATTGAAGCCTCAAGTTGCAATACTTCAGGATGCTTTGGGGAGAATATTGATTGATCCTGCAAGTAGTAAAAGAAGATGGAAAGAGTATACAGAGTCATTGTACCAAAGCAATTGGCAAACACAGAAGAACTTAATGAAACAACATGAGAAAGAGCCTATGGTGATAAAGGAAGGAGTTCAAACTGCTTTGAAAGAATTGGCTAAGAATAAGGCCCCAGGAATTGATGGTATACCAATTGACATATTTCAACTAACAGATGCTGCCCTAGATGTTTTCACCAACTTGTGCCAAGAAATGTGGAAAACAATCACTTGGCCACCTGACTGGAAGAAATCTATATTTGTTCCCATTCCAAAGAAAGGTGATCCCACAGAGTGTGGAAATTATCGAACAATATCATTAATATCACATGCAAGCAAGATTTTGCTGAAGATTATCCAAAAATGACTGGTACAGCACATCAACAGAGAACTATCAGAAGTACTGGCTGGGTTTAGACGGGGCCATGGTACTAGGGATATTGTAGCTAATGTTATATGGATCTTGGCTAATAGCAAGGAGTACCAGAAGAATGTCTATCTTTGTTTCATTGATTATGCAAAGGCATTTGACTGTGTGGATCATAACAAACTGTTGCTGACTCGGAGAAGAATGGGAATCCCAGAACACTTGATTGTGCTAATGTGAAACCTATACTTGGATCAGGAGGCAGTCATCAGAACAGAGCAAGGAAACACAGCATGGTTCAACATTGGGAAGGGGCACACCAGGGCTGTATCCTGTCTCCATACCTTTTCAATCTCTATGCAGAACAGGTTATCCGGGATGCTGGGCTCTATAAGGAGAATTGTGGCATCAGAATTGGAGAAGAATCATCAATCTGTGTTATGCAGATGATATGACCCTGCTTGCTGAAACTGAGGAGGACCTGAAGCACTTTCTGTGGAAGGTCAGGGACTGCAGTCTTCAGTATGGATCGAGACTCAATATCAAGAAAGCAAAGATTCTCACTACCGGCCAGATTGGCAGCATCATAATGGATGGTGAAGAGATTGATATTGTTCACAGTCAACACTCTTGGCACCAGTAGCCAGGAAATTAAAAGATATATTGCAATGGGAATGTCTGTGGTTAGAGACCTCTCTAAAGTGCTAAAGTGCAAAGTTGTCAGTCTGGAGACTAAGGTGTGCCTGATACATGCCATGGTCTTTGCAATCACTTGCTATACATCAGAGAGCTGTACAATGACTAGGGATGATAGAAGGGGAATTGATGTCTTTGAGCTGTGGTGTTAGAGAAGAGTGTTAAATATACCATGGACTGCTAGGAAAACAAACAGGTTTGTTCTGGAGAGGGTGAAACTGGGCTATTCCTTGGCAGCAAGGATTCTGAAGCTTCATCTGACATACTTTGGACATGTTGCAAGGAGGGATCAGTCCTTGGAGAGGGACATCATGCTTGGGAGGTGGAGGGACAGCACAGGAGAGGAAGACCCTCGATGAGATAGATTGATTCAGTGATGGGGGAATGGCATTAGGTGTTTCAGAGATGGTGAGATTGGCACTGGATAAGGCAAAATTTAGGGCTGTTGTACATTGGGTCACTATGAGTCACAGGCGACTCAACAGCACATAACAGCAACAACAACAAGCATCTGAAAGTTGGACAGTGAATAAGAAAAAAAATAATTGATGTCTTTGTCTTTGAATTGTGGTACGGGGATTAAAAAAAAAAAAACCTGGAGAAAGTACAGCCAGGGTGTTTCTTAATAATAATGCTGAAAACTTGTTTCACATATTTTGAGCATATTGTCAGGAGGAACCAGTCCTTGGAAAAAGGCATCATGCAGGAAAAGGTGAAGGGTCAGAGAAAGAAAAGATCTTCAATAAGAATTGATGTAGTGACTACAATATCAAAGTGGAGATTGTGAGGATGGTACAAGATAGCACAAGTTTCACAGGGTTACTATGAATCATTGTAGACTAGATGTCACTTAACAATAAGTGGGAGGAGCTCTAGTGGTCTAATGTCACGGAGGTGCACAGCCAACCAAAGGCTTATAGTTCAAATCCACCAGCTGTTCCATGTTAGAAAGATGGGCAATATCTTCCCATGTGATTTACAGCCTCTGAAAATACTCCCGAGGGTCAGATATGGGTCACTTCTGACTCAATGATACACAAAACAACAACTAGGACTTGGTGCTCAGAATGTGGTATGTGAGCTGGCAGAACAAGCCTCACCTGGGAGCTTGTTATAAAAGCAGAATCATTGAACAGCATGATGCCAGTGCACAGGAACTTGACAAGCATCATTCCCAGAAACACAGCAGTAGCTCCCAATCTTGGCTGCATACACCCATTCCTCACAACATGCAGATGCTGATTCCATTTATCTGGGGGGATCCAGACTTGGCTTTTTAAAAAAAAAAACCAAAAAACAAACAAAAAAAATCCCTCTCAGAAGATCTGGTGAAGGACATGTTTTCAGCTTCCTTAAATAAAAAAGAAAATCTGGAACTGAACCCACTCCTAAAGATGACCTTTCAACCAAATACAAGGCAGGCCTATAACATGAACAGTAAGGCCTATGAGGAACGTGCTGCTCAGAGAGGTAGGATACATTTGCTCAAAAACAAAGTTCATAGCAACATTATTCATCATAGCAAGAATATGGAAAGAGCCCAATGTCCAACCACAACTGAATGGATTGAGAAATTGTGGTACATTCACACAATGAAATACAATTTTGGGAAATATTACATAACTTGGGAGAGGCTTGAGAACATTATACTGAGAGAACTAACACAATCTCATCAGGACAAATGCCGTATAAGACCATTATTAGTAAAAATAGAAGAATAACTAGTAAACATATATGGAAACTCAAAGGGGGGCAAGGGCTGAGAATGGGTAGAGACGAAACCACAGCATTACACAGTTTGGTGGGAGGGTGAGGGGAAGTAAATGGAAAGGACACTGGAGTAAAGAAAGGTTCAATAGTTGTTAATTTTATAAAGCAATGAATTAGAATGATTGCATGAAACACAATGTGAATGAAAAATAGTGTGAACACAATGTATACAAACTTTGTAAGCAAATCAATAAAAAGAAAAATTTTAAAAAACCGAAAAACAAAACCCAAACCAAAGTTCAGAAGGCAGGGCAATTGGGGAAGATGAATGAATAGAAACAGGTAATGTATGGAGGGAATGGGAAGAGAAGAGTGCTCTTACATTGAGGGGATGGCAACTAATGCCGCACAAATAGCAGCAGGTTGTTGAATGGGGACCTAATCTGCTGGGTGATTTTATACTCAAATAACAGTAAAATGTTAAAAACAAAACCAACAAACAAAAACCCCGCAGTGATAGGCCAATAACTCTCAAGAGTCCCCAGAAAATATGCCAAACAGATGTCATTTCTTCAAGTCACAGGCCACGCCTCCTCAAATATAAATAGATACAGAGATGTATTTTCATTGTTGAGTAATGTCAAGTCAGAACCCATAGCTGACCCTCCAGTGGATTTTCAGAGACTGTAAATCTCACAGGAGGAGAGTGCCCATCTTTCTTGTGCAGAGCAGGTGTTGGATTTGAATCAAAAGGAACTGGCAGACACAGAAGAATTTAATGAAATCACATATGAGCAAGAGCCTATGGTGATGAAGGAAGAAATTCAAGCTACTTTGAAGGAAATAGCAAAAAATAAGGCCCAAGAATAGATGGTATACCAATTGACATATTTCAGCTAACAGATGCTGCCCTAGATCTGCTCATCAAGTTGTGCCGAGAAATCTGGCCAACTGACTGGAAGGGATCTATATTTGTTCCCATTCCGAAGAAGGGTGATCCAACAGAGTGTGGAAACTATAGAACGATATCATTGATTTCACACGCAAGCAAGATTCTACTGGAGATTATCCAAAAAAGACTGGAAAAGAAAACAACAAAAAACTGCCAGAAGTCCAGGCTGGGTCGTGGTACTAGGGATATTGTAGCTGATGTTAGATGAATCTTAGCTGAAAGCAGGGAATACCAGAAGAATGCCTATCTGTGTTTCATTGATTATGCAAAGGCATTTGACTGTGTGGATCATAACAAACTGTGGCTGACTCTCAGAAGAATGGGAATCCCAGAACACTTGATCGTGCTAATGAGAAACCTATACTTGGACCAAGAGGCAGTCATCAGAAGAGAGCAAGGAAACACTGCATGGTTCAAAAGTGGGAAAGGCATATGCCAGGGATGTGTCCTATCTCCATACCTTTTCAACCTGTAAGCAGAAAAGATTATCTGAGAGGCTGGGCTCTGTGAGGAGAAGTGTGGCGTCAGGATTGGTGGAAGATCTATTAACAATCTGTGTTATACAGACGACACAACCCTGCTTGCTGAAAACTGAGGAGGACCTGAAATGCTTGCTTCATAGGGTCAAGGACTGCAGCCTTCAGTATGGACTGAGGCTCAATATCAAGAAGACAAATGTTCTCACCACTGGACCAATTGACAGTATCAGGATGGATGGTGAAGAGATTGAGATTGTTAACAACTTTAGCCTGCTTGGCTCCACAGTTAACACTCTTGGCACCAGTAGTCAGGAAATCAGAAAATGTATTGTGATGGGAAAGTCTGCTCTTAGGGAACTCTCCAAAGAACTCAAGAGCAATGGTGTCACTCTGGAGACTAAGGTGCACCTGATACAAGCCATGGTCTTTGCAATCACTTGTTATGCATCAGAGAGTTGGACAACGACTAAGAAGGATAGAAGGAGAATTGATGCCTTTGAGCTGTGGTGCTGGAGAAGAGTATTGAATGTACCCTGGACTGCCAAGAAAACAAACAGATTCATTCTGGAGAGGGTTAAACCAGGCTGCTCCTTGGAGGCAAGGATTCTGGGGCTTCGTCTGGCATACTTTGGACATGTTGTAAGGAGGGAGAGATCCTTGGAGAGGGACATCATGCTTTGGAGGGTGGGGAGACGGCGCAGAAGGGGATGACCCTCTTTGAGGTGGATTGATTCAGTGACTGGGGTAATTAGGATGGGTGTGTCAGAGGCAGTGAGATTGGCACAGGATAGAGCAGAGTTTAGGGCTGTTGTACATAGGGTCGCTATGAGTCACAAACGACTCGACGGCACATAACAACCAACACCACCTTTGGGTTGGCAGTGCAATTCCTTACTACTAAATCACCAGATCACTCTGTTCTCTCTCTCTCTCTCTCTTTCCATCTAATATATAAATGATGTATACTCTTTATATGTTATGTCTAACTCATCTATCTTCGATACAGACATAGAGAGATAGGGCCATGAATTTCCATCTCACTCCTCCCCTCGGAGCACCTCTACCCCATGCTACAGTGAAATGGTGCCATGTTGGGCTTAGAGACTAAGGCTGAGAAGAAGGCCCTTACGTGACACTGCCCGCATAGTGCTTGATTCGGAAGTCTCGGCCAAACTCCATGCTCTTGTCTGTGGGGCAGAGCTGTGGAGACAGGCTTAAGGTTAAGCACAAAAGATGTAAGGGTAGTGTAGGGATGAGCAAAGGAGGCCATCCCAGTGACCCACCAGGCCCTCCAAAACTGAGTTAGCATAGCACTTGTCTGCTCAGTCCGGGATGGGGGAGCGGAGGGCTGGGTACCTGGCGGCTGGTGTAGTGTGGGTGGTGCCGATGGTGGGTGTCCAAGGTCTGCAGGAAGAGCCGATCAGTGATGGTGCCTGCGGAGCTGCAGGCCTCATCCAGCACAGCCAGGACACCGCGGTGGGGCCGCTCCACCAGCTCTATGATGGCAGCATTGTTGAAGTAATCGATCTGAGAGGCAGTCAGCAGAGGAAGACCTCAGAGAAGATATTCACTCCCTCCACCCCCTCCCCCCAGCCACTTTGTGCTCAGGCCCCCTAGGCCTACCTCCTGCTCTGGCATTCTGCTCACTTCCTGCATACCAGCAAGAATCACAGGAAGGGCCCTCCTTCCTCACCTAGTCCTCAAGCTGGCCCTTCTATCCCACAGACACAGTTCAGCCTCCAAGGCCAAGGCCAGGTGCCTGGCCCTCGCTGTGTCCTATGCCCAAGGATTGTCTGAACCCCATGCACCCACGCTTTTCCATGCGATGTGTTCCCTGTGCCCTGGCCCCACATGCTCACACTACCAGGCAGTGCCTTCCTGGGTCTGCCCCCCCCATGTGCTCACAGTGCTGGTGATGCCTTCCCCGTTCCTGTCCCCCATGCGCTCACGCTCTGCCAGGTGATGCCTTCCCGTTGATACTCGTCTTGCTCCTGCTTCAGGATGAGCTGGATGAACAGCTGCTGGAGCTTCTCGTTGCAGTAGTTAATGCAGAACTGCTCAAAACTGGGAGTGAGGTACAATTTTCAGAGTCCCTTTCGCTGAGTCTGCTGGGGGCTTGACAGATGCAAGGACTGCCCCCTTGAAATCTCTTCCTGTAACTACCCAAGTGGATCCAGTGCTGAAATTCCCCTGGGCTTAACCCAGCCTCCAACACTCATTCAGAAATGGATTTAGAGGCCAAAAAGGAAAGTGGGCCCTGAACTTTGGTCTTCTGGCCTTTCTGTGGCCCTGTCTGCCATCAAGGGAATCTTTATGGGGCAGTGAGAAGGAGTTGCACTGCCAAGCCGGAGGTTCTACTCCACCAGCAGCTTTAAGGCAGACAGATGGGTTATCTCATTCCATGTTATATACAGCCTCCATAAACCAGATGGAGGGTCAGCTATGAGTCAGTTCCAACTCCATGACAATGAGTTTGAGTTTTTTTAACCCACCATTAAAAAAAAAGCATGAGGCATCATTGAGTGGAAGCGCTGGGAAGCTGGTTTAGAAGGGTGAGTTCTGGGACCAAAGACCTACTAGGGGAAAGCCTTGCTTCCCAGCCAAGTTCCCCTGTGACTGAGACAGAAAAGGAAGTTTGGACATAATGAGGGTTTGGCATCAGAGGAGGGATGTGGTTGGCAGGGTCACCTGTTGACAGGGAACACCTCGAAGCCATAGATGTCCAACACGCCTATGACCGTGTCTTTGCCATCATGTCGAGGGTCCCGGCCTTGGGCTTCCATAATACCATTAATTCTATCTACAATCCACTCAAACAGCCGCTGGTATATTGCCTGAGGGAGGAGAGGACCAAGGAAGTGGTTGCTTGTTCCTCTGGCCTTGCCCTATTGAGTAGATCTCTAGAGTACCCTCCTACCCACTGTCCCCAGGTACCTTAGCACAAGCGTCTCGGGCATAGCAGGCCTCCGCCCTGGAGTGGCCCTTCTGGATGAGGTCCCTGCCCCCTGAAGCTACTGTGCGGGCCAACAGAGAGCGGAGCACCAGATCCCGGGGTGTGGCAGTCAATTCAGCCACATGGTCCACCAGCATCTCCTCTGTCACCACAAGACCCTCCTTCTCTGGCCCTTCTTCCTTTGTCTCCACAAACTCAATATTTCCCTGGTAACGGGGAACCATAAACAAAGTACAAGCCAATGGAATCTGCAGCACTATGGGGGAGGGAGGAAAGGGATGGAGCCAAGGATTCTATTTGGACCAGAGAGGCCAGCTAGTTGTGGCAAACCAGGGTCAGTCAAAAGTGTATGTGGTGATTGAGGGAGGCAGGGAGCCACAGAAGTGTGTCAAAGTATTCACAAGACTTTAGAACAAAAACCATTATGACTTCCCCAGCTGCTGGAGGAGGTCTGTCTCAGGAAGAACTGGAGCTCAGAGGAACCAAACAGCCCACTAAATAAGCCACACAGCAAGTAGAGAACAGAGAGGCTCCCAGCATTGCATTGTCATCCCCAACCTATGTCTGTATCTTAAGGAAAAGTTGTCCTCCAGTTAAGACCACATGCACATAGGCCTGATCTGGTCCAGGTTCTAGGGTGCAGAGTTCCAACTCAGGGATAGACAAGCCTCAGGGGAGCTCCAGTGAAACAGATGAGCCCAAGGATAGAGGTTTGGTGATATATCTGAGAATCCCAGGCCAGTCCCTCCCATTGCCTCAGAGTGGCTCTCATCCAGGAACCCCAGGAAGTAGCCGAGGGGCTCACCAGATGCAAGATAGCTGCTAGGATCCGATGAACAGATGCCATTTCCTCAGGACTGAATCCAATCACCCTCATGGCCTGGTTCACTGCCTGGTGACCTGTCTCATCTCTGTCCAAGGCCTAGAGAAAGCATTCACACCCTAGAGCTGTACTGAGCTCTGTAGCCATCATCCAGGACCACACTTACTGCTCTGAGCACTGCTCCCTCCACCATGGTGTCAGTCTGGGCCCAGTACACAAGGGGCCACCAGCTCTTTGTGCAGCCATATAGCTACACCCCTACTCACATTGAGCCCAGCTCCCTGGCGAGTGAAATTGTACAAAGCAGGATTCCTCTGCAAATGCAGCTTTTGTAGCAATTCTTCCTCACATCCCTGCAGCATCTAAAGGAAACACAGGACTCTTAGGCCTTTGTACCCTGGGAACTCCTACACAGGCAGAGATAGGTGGAGGCAGACAAGGTGCTCTTCATCCACCTCTGGCTTGGCAGACACAACTGTCTCCAGGTTGCTTCTGTTTTCATGGGCTCACTTTAGTTAGGATACAGTCTTGGTGCAGGCTGCAATGGAGCAGAGTGATTTTCTAATCAGAAGGACCCCCCCTGAGGGCACCTAGGAATGTGAGGAGTTTAGGAAAGTAAGATGATTAAATACATGATGTTTTCGTCTCTTGGACTGCTAGAAAGATTGACCTTTTGAATTGGCCAATTGCTCCATGGAAGAAAGATAGGCAGTCTTCTTTTATAAACATTTATAATCTCAGAAGTCTGCTGTAGGTTAGCTATGAATTAGAACCAACACGTGGAAGCAGGGAGACCTCAGAGGGTACAGTAGTTGGGGGATGAGGCAACCATCTGGGGATGGACTTAAGAGTTGAGAAACACCTACCTCAACAAGTGCATTTGAAAATCCAGCTAGTGCTGCCATAAGTAAACATATCTGTTGTTGTTACTGTTATGTGCTGTTATGTGAGTTACTGTGACTCTTAACAACCCTATGTACCCTGTACTATGCTGAGCCAATATATCTAGATTAAAAATAACTGTAAAAGATATTCTTGGTAAGGGGAGCGTACACCCAGAGTGGATAATAGATGAAATTACTGAATTAGTGCTTTTTTTATTCAGTGTGATGAAGATATTGTGTTAATGAAAAAGAATGACTTTATCTTTGTTGTTGTTGTTAGGCGCCATTGAATAGGACTCATCATGACCCTATGAATAACAGATCTGAATCCTGTCCTATCCTGTGCTATCCTTACCAACTCTGAAACACTTGAGTCCACTATTGCAGTCACCACGTCAATCCAGCTATTTAGGGATCTTCCTCTCTTTTATTGACCCTCCACCCTTCCAAGCATGATGTTTTTTTCTAAGAATGGCTTCTCCTCGCAACATGTCCAAAGAATGAGTATCAGCTTTGTCATCCTTGCCTCCAAGGAGAACTCCAATTAGGCACTAAATACTTAAGTGTATAGAAATTGCAACTTACCACAGGTTTAGTAACAGCAACAATAGAAACATAGGAAGAGCAAATGGCAAACCTAACAATGGGATCTGCATAAAGCTTCTATGGATTCTTATTTTTTTCTATTTTTTCTTTATACATTAAAAAATTTCTGGTAAAAATATTAATGTAAAGATTAAAGACTTTTGGATGGAGGGTTTCGCTCCACAGCTCTAGACCCTTACCACTCACTGATGGCTTCTACCTGTCTCACCTCTCAGGTCCTAGAGGCCTGTAGTTCCTGTGTCCCCACACTCCCTCCTATACTCCTGAATGCTCGTTTTAACAATGACTGCGACCGCTCCACTAGCTCAAAGTGAAGGTCTACCGCTAGCTCCAAAGCCTGGTCTCCTCCAGGACCACCCTTCCTCACCACTCACTGCTGCCACGTCTCTCCACACTGGGCTTCTTACATCGTCTTCCGGGTTTTCTAATCACGTTATCAATTCAGGCTTTCCTGGGCACCCTGCCAACCTGAAGACCAGAAGGGTGTTGTTCACTCCCTTCCCACTGCAGTATGCCTTGGGCTGGGGATGCACCAGGGGCTGAACATAAGAGTCTGGGGGCGGCGACTCCTACATAGGTATCCTATGTGTGCCCCAGACAGCCTTGGACGTGCCCAGGTTGGTCTTGGCCACCAAGATCGCCGCAGGACAAGCTATGGAGCGTCGGTGGGGTTCTGGCTCCCCAAAGCAGTGATTCCCTCCACGGCCCTCCAGGATTGTAGCGACCCCTACCAAAGATTGCTCCTGCCTTTAAGATTACAGCCTCGGAAACCTCGTGAAGGTTGTGAATTCCAATCACATTTTGTTTTGGAAACTCATGGTTGAATTTTTTGGTTATGATGACTCCTCGCCCCGGCGAAAAGGCGAGGCAAAAGGCGAAGACTAGGGCTGCGCTGGTGGCCAGGGGTGGGGAGGGGGATGATAGTGTGTGTAGGAGGGGAGGTAGTATAAGGTGAACAAGGTGACAGCGTGGACACGCGAACATCAACCCTTCCACACCCAATAGAAGAACAGGACAGAGCGACAAACAGGACGGAAGACAACAACGTGATAAAGTGGGAGGGGAGAAGGGCGGAGCTAGTAAAGTGGGCGGGGCGACGGCGAGACGTGCTGGGGAGCTATGGGTGGGGCAATGCGTCTAGAAGGGAGCTGAGAGAAGTGGGAGGTGGGCGGGGATAGGGCCCGGGGAGGTAGGCGGGGCAAAGGGTGAGGCAAGGGCTGAATGGTGGGGCGGAACTGAGGAAGTGGACGGGGCGAGGACGGGTATGGTGAGGGAGGGAGATGGGGAAGACCGCTCCCCCATTGCGCAGCACCTTGGCTTTCCTTACCGCTCCTCACCTGGTAAAAAGAATGGAAATTCCTCTCGCCCACGTGCTGCTTGAGGACCCGGGACTGCGAAAGGAGGGGAAGAAGCTTCAGCCTGTTTCTGGAACCTGCCCAGCGAGCCCCCTTTCACTGAGCATCTCTCAGTTGCACAATAGAAGGGACCTCCATGCTGGGCCATGGTCATCCTGGGACTAGAAGGAACTCAAGCCTGATCCTAGAGACTGACTGGCCCCCTTAACCTCCAACAGATAGTATCTTCCCAGCTCTTAACTGCCCCTCCTAGTACCAGTGAATCCTCTTCTGGGGGTTGAGGGACACAAGGACTCTTCAGCCCACCTGCCCAGGGTCTGCAAAAGCAGGCCCACCTTCTCCAGCAGATAGCTATGGATGTGACCTCCGATGGGGTCCCCCTTGAAGTCAAAATTGATGTCCATGTATTTGCCGAAGCGACTGGAGTTGTGGTTCCGATTGGTGCGAGCATTTCCAAAGGCCTCCAGCACGCAGGTGGAGTTAAGTAGCACATCCTTGACCCTTGTGGGGGCAAAAAGGTTGCTAGCGTGATAGGAACTGAGACTATACCACAAGTCCTCCAAGGGAAGTTAAGAGTAGTAACACTAGAGGAGTGTCTCCCTCTCTCCCCTGCCCTTATTTCAAATCTTTTCCTACAAAAATCATAGTCTCAGGATTGGATTAAAGGTTGGGTTTTTACAAGGAGCTACAGAGCCTAGTCTTGCATTTTAGCACTGTTCTTTTTTCACTTCACTTCTAGGTGTTAAAAAAGTTGTTTTGTTTTGTTTTTTTTTATTCCAGTACCGGGAAGCTTGTGCTGAGAGGCTGTTTGCAAGGAGCATTGCTTCTGAAAGCTGCCCTGGAAACGCTGGAAGGTGCTCTTCCCCTAGAGGTGCAGATCTCAGCTGCGCCTGTACATCCATCAGCTACTTCCCATTGATTTCTAGCTGCAGTAGTGCCTGCTGCACCTGCTCAGCCTCACCTCATCTCACCCTACTCTAAACAGGATGAAACTGAGGCACCGCCCAACACAGGAAGCTGCTTTTGCAAGATGGCTTCAGCTGGGGGGAAGGGGCAGCAGAAGAACTTCAACCTACTTCAGATGCCCTGACTCATATGTTCTGTCTCTCCCAGCCAAAGCCTGGCCAACATCTCCATTCTTTCTTCAGTTCTGCCCTTAACACATGCAGAGCTCTACAAAGCCACCTTTTCTCCACTCTTCTGCTGTCCTTTTCCCCCAACAGCCTTTGTCTGCTACCTCCTTCAGTGTCTCATTTCCCTTAGCTGTGGTCTAGACATGTCTTATTTCTAATATTTTCTCAAGGGACATCATCACTGGCCTCATGCTAAGGGGGTTCACTGGCTGCCTAATTCTCATGCTCCTCACTTTTAGGTTCCAGGTTTAATACACAAGGCCCAAGCCATCCCTGGCTCCTCCTCCTTACCTCTCCACCTCAGCCCTCTGGCTCGGGTTGGTGACAGCAGCAATGTACTGCATGATGTGCTTGCTAGCTTCCGTCTTTCCTGCCCCACTCTCCCCTGCCATCAGATGGATGGAAAGATAGAAAAATCAGTAGGGCTGCTAGTACCAAGCTGGTCCCACCAGACAATGCTCATTTTTTTAACCTTTCTTAAAATTGTATTTCATTCATGTACATTGTTTTGTTGGGTTTGTTTGGTTTTTTCCACTTACTCCCTCCACCCACCAAACTCTTCAACCCTGTGATTTCCCCCCTCCTCACCCTCAGCCACTCTGCTCCTCCCCTTCCCTTTCTGTATATCCATACTCATCTCAGTGATTATCCTTCTGTTTTTACAATAATGGTCTTATACAGTATTTGTTCTTATGTGCCTGAGCAGCCAGTGCTCCTTAAATCAGTCCTTCGCATCCTCAGACTGGCATTCAGGAGTCCTGGGCAGTCTCCCCTCTGGACCCTATTCCTTATCCCATGATTTATACACAGGAAAACTGAGGCTTAGATAGTAAATTGGAGTTGGTGAGTGAGTGGGGTCTAGGATGGTCTCCTTGACCTGAAATGACGATGCACGTGTCCTTAGAGCGGTGCCTCATAGCCTTGTAGGCAGCATTGGCCACAGCGTAGAGGTGGGGTGGTCGTTCGTAGAGTTCTCGACCCTGGTACTGGGTGATGACCTCGGGCCCATAGAGTGGGAGCTCTTGGTAAGGGTTCACAGATACCAGCACCTCGCCGATGTAGGTGTAGATGCGGCCCTTCTCAAACCTGGGAACAGGGATGGGTCAGTCTCAATACTCACAACCCTACCCCAAAGCTAGACTAAGATGATTAAGCCTTAGAATGGAGGTGCCAGGCCATCACAGCATCAGGAACCTGGGGCCCTAGTTCCTTTCATCATTGGAATGAGCTGCAAAGTGGGAATGTATGCAGATGAGCTGGTACCTGACATAAAGAGGTGCAAGGGCAGCCATGAAGACTGTTGATGAATTGGATTAGAGCCCCTGGGCAGATGAGGATCCTGACCACACATCTGAGAAGGAACAATCCAGAAACAAGAACTGGTTCACATGGCAGGCAGAACTGTAGCTAGATCTAAGTTTCAGTCTCCTCTCCCAACGGAGGCCAGAGGGACAATGACTGAGGGTAGGAGGGAATCAACCCTGAGAGACAAGATAGGATATGTATGTGTGTGTGGTGAGTGGGACGACACCTTAACTTGTTTTTCGGTCTAGACACACCCCAGGAAGGGGGTGTAATGCAAGGTGGTCTGGTATGGAGCTCTAATAACTGTCTGCTCTTTGGCACCTGCTCGGCCCTCCCATGCATACTCATCTTAACTTTCTGATGCTTCTCCCCTCAAACCAGGACCCTGTGAGGTGCCTGTGTGAGGTCTGTCCATAGCGTTCTCTCAGAAACCTCCCTGTCCTAGGGAGATGAATGGCTTGGTGCAGGGCCTGTCTCCTCAGCCCTCATCTTCCATCTGCTCTATACAGATGTCCCCAGGCCCCTCTGTGTGCCTCACCTCAGACTTGCTGCTCACAAGTCATTTTCTTATCATTGTCTCATAAGCTGGTTTTTGTTAAGATGGAAATTAAATCATGTATATAAAGAACTTTGCTCTATGCCTTACATCAATCAGAGGCCATGCAAAGGTGTCTTTCCTGTTCACATGCCTTTGTAGCCCTGTGACTAGCCTCACTCAGACCCTCTGTACCCCTTCCTTCCTTCCTGAGCTTCAGCCCAGCTCCTTTTCCACCCTCTGTGCCAAACTCATCCTACTAACCCACCTTAAATATCACTTCTTCAAGGAACTTCTTCCTGGCTCACTCCTCTGCTCCAATAACACTGTGTTCTTCCTCAGAGCAGTAACCTCAACTCATTGCACAATTCCTGACATGAAGGTCAGATGGGGTGGGGGTGGGGGTGGGGGGTGGAGGGCCAAAGGGGCAGGAGTTGATAGCAGAGCAGCAGTCTGGGTAAGGCAGAGCTTTCTGGAGCCCTGGTGGAGTGCTGGTACCTGTCTGCCTAGAGTAGTCTCCATGATTGATAGTCTTTGCTTGTTAATTCAGAAGAAGTCTGAGTTGAAGCCAAGCCCTGACTAACAAGTTCAATCCTTTCCACTGTCCCCACCTGCCTGTTTCATAGGTCCCTTTGGAAGTCCCCGGTGGACAGACTGGAAGAATCTGGTCCAGCACGGAGTGGATAGAGGGTGGCTGGATGCTACCCTCTGTTTACCTACTAAGGACAGCAGTTCAGCCTCCTCCTTCCCTCATCACTGGCCCTAGATTAAAGAGTTGGGAAACGACCTTGGCTGGATTTACCTGAGCTTCAGGTTTGTCATGAAGTCTTCCATGGTCACCTGGTCCAAAAGCACAAAGTCGGGTTTGCCATAATCAGGTCCTTCTTCCATCCTGACAGCTGGAGCACCCAAAGCAGGTGGCCCTGATCTTCTAGGCCAGGCTGGCAAGAGAGGTTCAGCTCTGCCTTTCTCCTATGCTCACCCTGTGCCTCCCCAGCAGCGTGTGAAAGAGGAAGTGGGTTCTGGCCCTTAGGAGGTGCTGCTGACCCACTTCTTGCTCTTCCCCCACCCGAGGTGCTCTGACCCCTGCTTCCTGGTTCCCGCCCAAGGTGGAGGATGTGCCTAACAGTTTGACCCATTTGCATGCCAAGGCTAAGGAGCTGATGGTTGGCTCCTCCATACATGGCCTTCTGCCTGCTCTGCAAGTTCCTTTATCTCAGTGGTTTCTCTAAGTCTATCCTGGCCCACCTCAAGCAGTAGAATAGATTCAGTGGCTCAAACTCCAGGAACCTGTTAGAATCACCTATAGAGCTTTATTAAAAATACCTTGTGGTAGTGACTACACAGCATCATGTCAAAATACACTATACTGAGCACCAGTCGAATGTTGTACTATGTATATTGTACCCTAATTTTTTTTTAAATGTTTATGTGCACTCTCTTCAGAGGTGATTAGTGTAAGGCCATGCAGTGGGCCACACTGGAATGCAAATGACAAAAGTAGCTTCATGTCCAACCCAGTCCTTAGAAGTCACTATGCTCCAATTTCCCTCATTTGTGATCTGAATGTCCCTTTGACCCCATGTACTAGTCTGAAGCCCAGGCCTCTGGGATCCTGTTTTCCAGAAGTCTCCTTTGCTGAAGCAAAGACCTAGCAAGTATTCTGTGGGAACATCTCATCACTTTAGTGAGTCATGTTCATTGATCCGTTTCATCACCAAAAAGTATGAGGTGGCAAGGGGGTGGGGAATTATACAACAATGAAAGGATTTTTTTTCCGCAAAGAGAAAAGTGAACTGGGGAGGGGCAGGGAGGAAAATGTACAACAATGAATAGAAATCCAAGTTCTCTATTAACTTCCACTAAAATCTAAAAAAAAAAAAAAGCGTATGAGGCAGTCTATATAGTTCATCTTAGTGCTCACCATCCTCAGAGGCCTGTCAATTTCATCATGGGGAGAAGTTTGCTGAAGCCCAGAACAGCCATGGATTCTACTTAAGAAATCAGCTCAAGGTGTACACCAAGAGGAAAGCAGGACTGGCCACTAGGCTTGACCACCCAGAGTGTACTACCTTAAAATAAATACTTACCTAACAAAACTTTGTTCACAGCTTCAGTTTGCTCGGATCCACAGTCAACACTCTTGGCACCAGCAGCCAGGAAATCAAAAAACGTATTGCGATGGGAAAGTCTGCTGTTAGGTACCTCTCTAAAGTACTCAAGAGCAACAGGGTCTCTCTGGAGACGAAGGTGCACCTGATACAGGCCATGGTCTTTGCAATCACTTGTTATGCATCAGAGAGCTGGACAGAAGGAGAATTAACGCCTTTGAGCTGTGGTGCTGGAGAAGAGTATTGAATGTACCACGGACTGCCAAGAAAACAAACAGATTCATCCTAGAGAGGGTTAAACCAGGCTACTCCTTGGAGGCAAAGATTCTGGGGCTTCATCTGACATACTTTGGACATGTTGCAAGGAAAGACAGGTCTTTGGAGAGGGACATCATGCTGAGTAGAGTAGAGGGACAGCACAGGAGGAGAAGACCCTCTATGAGGTGGATTGGTTGAGTGACTGGGGTAATCAGGATGGGTGTGTCAGAAGCAATGTGATTGGCACAGGATAGAGCAGGGTTTAGGGTCGCTATGAGTCGCAAACGACTCAATAGCACATAACAACAACAAAATTTACTCAGATGACACAACCTTGCTTGCTGAAACTGAAGAAGACCTGAAGCACTTTCTACAGAAGGTCAAGTTCAATATGGATTGAAGCTCAACATCAAGAAGACAAAGATTTTCACCACTGGCCCAACTGGCAGCACTGTGATAGATGGATAAGAGACTGAGGTTAACAAAGCTTTCTCAGCTCCACTCTTAACACCAGCAGTCAAGAAGTCAAAATACAAACTGCATTGGGAAAATATGCTGTCAGGGACCTCTCCAGACTGCTGAAAAGCAACAATGTCAGTCTAGAGACAAAGGTGAGCCTAATTCTAATGGCCTTTGCAATTACTTGCTTTGCATCAGAGAGCTGGAAAATGACAAAGGATGACAGAAGAATTGATGCCTTTGAATTGTGGCACTGGAGCAGAGTCTTGAACATACCATGGACTGCCAAGAAAATACATTGGTCTGTCTTGGAGAGGATGAAATCAAGTCTCTCTCTCCTTGGATGCTAGGATTTTGAAGCTCTCTCACATACTTTGGGCATGTAGCCATAAGGCGTCAGTCCTTGGAGAAAGACATCATGCTTGGAAGGGTGGAGGGACAGTGCAGGAGAGGAGAACCTCAGATGAGATGGATTAATACAGTGACTGGGGCAGTGGGGGTTGGTGTGTCGAAATTAGTGAGACTGGCTCAGGACAGGGGAGGGTTCAGAGCTGCTGTACATAGGGTCATTATGGGTTGCAGTTGACTCGAAAGCACATGACAGCCACAACAAAATTTAAAGTGAATGTCTACCTACTAGACCTCACTAAATATCATTAGCAATAAGGAAAACACAGGCATGAAAAACCTCAGCTCTTTTGGTTTAGAAACAGGACACTGACCTACCTTGTGCTACTTTGGCATATTTGGGGCAAATTTTGTCTCTATTCTCACCACTAGGCCAATTGGTAGCATCATGATAGATGGAGAAGAGATTGATATTATTAACAATTTTAGCTTGCTTGGTCCCACAATCAACACACTTGGCACAACAGTCAGGAAATCAAAAGACGAATTGCATTAGGAATATCTGCTGTCAAAGACCTCTCCAGAGTGCTAAAGAGCAATGATGTCAGTCTAGAGACTAAGGTACACCCGATCCAGGCCATAATCTTAACAATTATCTGTTATGCCTCAGAGAACTGGACAATGGCCACAAAGGACCAGAGAAGAGTTGATGACTTTGAGTTGTGGTGTTGGAGAAGAGTACTGAACATACCATAGACTGCCAAGAGAACTAACAGGTCTGTAATAGAGAGGATGAAGCCAGACTGTTCCTTAGAGGTAAAGATTTTGAGGCTCTATCTGACATACTTTGGGCATGTTGCCAGGAGGGACAAGTCCTTGGAGAATGCATGATATCGTGTGTGAAAGGGTGGAAGGACAGCACAGGAGAGAACCTCAGATGAGATGGATTGACACAGTAACTTGGGTAATGAGGGTAAGTGTATCAGAGACAGTGAAATTGGCTCAGGATAGATCAGGGTTCAGGGCTATTGTGCATAAGATCACTATGAGTTGTAGTTGACTCAATGGCACATGACAACAACAACAAGGTCTGAAAGTAAGCAGGCCACACTACCCTGTAAATCTCACATCTGGATGGTGCATTTGAAGGGTTTCCCAGACCAAAACTTGGGTGTTGGAGATTCTCAGGCTGATCATGCCCCACCTCCTTGCCCTTCTTCATGGTTTCACTTCCCCAAGGGACTAAAACATGACAAACCTTAAGGGGTTTTGGAATACTTCAGAAAAATAGGCAAAACTACATGTTTATACAATTTGATAGACATAGATTTGAATTTCACAGACTTTCCACGTAACAAATTATCTTTCTTTTTTCAATCATGTAAAAAGGTCAACACAATACTTAGCTCACAGTTTTGACACCTGAGTAGAAGTTTTCTGGACCCTGTTTAAGACCCTGATTCGAGTGTGGCCTTGGACTTGGTTCTAATAATGGTTATATTTATTCTATCCCATAAAGATTTACAATATTGGAAATCCTACCAAGGATTGACACATGCATGAGATGCTGGCTCCAGGGGTTTCTTCAGTGCCCATGGGGAGCACTTGACAGGTCCCCAGAAGGATGAGGCAAGATCATCACAATAAGATAGATAAATGAATACAGCAGTTAGCTGGTAGGGAAAAGAAGTATATTTAAGCAAAGATCACTCCATTAGTGATTTAAGAGGTTCCCAGGCCTGGTTATCAAAGATACTGGCAGAAAATCAATCACAGGTAATAAAGAGAAAGACATCTCAAAGAGAGGAAAGAATAAGTGCCCTGTCATGGGTTGAGGGGAAAAGGTACTTTTCATTTACTCTGTTTTTGTGATATAGGCTACAACCTCATGAGTTTTTCTTCTGGTCTTGATGTAAGTCTTGTGAGACTGAGAACTTCATGATCTCATTGCAAGTTTCTTAAAACTGACCATTTCCTGGTATGACTCCTTTGATTTTCTCTGGATGTCCTGTTATTGTTGTTGTTATGTACAACAGCTCTGAATTCTGTTCTATCTTGAGCCAATTTCATTGTCTCCAACACACATACATACCCTCATGAACCCAGTCACTGAGTCAATCCATCTCGTCCAGGGTCTTCCTCTTTTGCACTTGCTCTCCACCATTCCAAGCAGAATGTCTCTCTCCAACGACTTTGCTTCAGGCAACATATCCAAAGGATGTCAGACAAAGCTTCAGAATCCTTCCCTTCAAGGAGCAATCTGGTTTCACCCACTCTGGGACACACCTGTTTTCTTAGTAGTTCATGGTATATTCAATACTCTTCTCCAGCACCACAACTCAATGGCATCAATTCTCCTATCATCCCTAGTCATTGCCCAGCCCTCTGATGCATAGCAAGTGATTGTTAAGACCATGGCCTAGATGAGGTACACCTTAGTCTCTAGACTGACATCATTGCTCTTTAGTACTCTAGAGAGGTTTCTGACAGCAGACTTTCCCAATGCAATTTGTCTTTTAATTTCCTGGCTGCTGTGGTGCCAAGAGTGTTGACTGTGGAGCCAACTAAGCTGAAGCGGTTAACAATCTCAATCCCTTCACCATCTATCATGATGCTTCCAATCGGCCCAGTGGTGAGAATCTTTGATTTATTGATGTTGAGCCTCAATCCATGTTGAAGCCTGCCCTAACAACAAAGACAGAAGAAGAATCAATA